CTTGGCATGGGTGGATGGCAAGATGTTCCTGTTGTCAACGGACGCTCGATCACCCATCCTGCCCTTCGTCACCAAGGGGCATATTCACATCTGCAAGAACCAACGAACAGTCTGCGCATGGACGAGTGCATCACAAAAGGGTATGTAGTCCGCGGTATCGGGAGATGCCGCACTACAGAAACTACGAAGTGCCGCCAGCGAATGGAGCGAACAAAGGTCTCATCGCCCCGACATTGGTGGCCAAAATGGCTTCCATTGCGTCATCAACTACAAAAGATCCGTGAAGACCGCCATTCCACACTCACTTCGAACACTCGCGTGGACAGAACACGATGGCTTTGTCGATTCGCTCTGTGGTTGATGGCACCACACGACTGACGGAGGCAGTCGCAGCTTTGTTCTAGGTCGACGTGGGCTAGCCCCCATTGTCCTCAAGTTGGCAATGCCAAGGACCTTGAGCATCCATAGTGGAAATATACTGTGGCCCAAGCGATAGGATGCTAGCTGCACGCATCCTCCACTTTGGAACTGTGCAAGGAATGGATGGCCGTTGGCGATTCTTTTCCTGCTCGACAACAGCGCTATCGCATGGAGCCTTCTTCTCACTGCACATCCTGACGGGATCCAACCACCGCGCCGGAATTGTTATTTGTCGCTGATCGTGCTGAAGTGTCGAAACCGTCTTAAACGAAACCGAACAATCCAGTTACGTTGCCGACGTTTCGACGGGCAGCATCGGCATGGCGACGCAGCCGGCAGCCGTTGGGAGCGCCGGCACAGCGAGTCGGATCGCGGAAGGCGGGCATGACCCTCGGCAGCACTGCCTTCTGTTTGGCCTTCCGATAGTACTTTATAATCAACAACTTCCGGGTTCGACTGTCCCGCGCGCTTGGGGCAATGCGACACCGACTGGTTTCACACTTGCTGCTTAGGCTATGTTGGCGCCGAAGGCTTTGGGGACTTGCGCGTGACACTCCTTAAGACGTCTCGGCAGCACGTCCGACCAGCAGACTCCTCGTCGTTAGACAGTGTCGACGTCGACAACGAGCTGGTGCGTCACAATTTCAACGAACGAGTGTTCGTCGTCGTGCCAGCCCAGCAGCACGCCGCGTCCACAGCCTTGCGAAAGTACCTAGCGGATCACGACGCGGACCCCATGTCGGCGCTCGAATCTCGCCTGCGCGAAAGGTACGTCTGCGGGCATCATCGCAACCCTGTCAAATAATCCGCCGGATGACTCCAGCGCGCGACTGGAAAAACGCTTGAACGACGACGCTGTCCACGCATCATGCGGCCAAGTGGTCACATATGGCCAATCCATCCAGCTGCTTCACGTGAACTCGTCCAAGTATTCCATGCGCCGTCGAAATGGCACTCCCTGTTGATGACAATGCTACTAGATTCGTGGCAGTGCGACCACGCATGCTGTCGGACACAGAGCGCGACGCGATGAAGGTCGAGCTTCTCGCGGAACCGTTCGAAGACGCACACTTTCAGATCCAGTCGCCGTACCGCCACTTGTGTCCTGGCGACGAAGTCCTGCTCCACGATGACGTTGTGTTTGCGAGCGGTAGGGAATGCTCGGTGGCCTCAAAACCGCTTCACCCACATCACGGTGGTGGCTAGGCACGTGGCAGGTACAACTCCATGTGGGCTACAGACTGTCGATGGCGCAGCACGCGGCAGGGGGCGGCTCCGACTTTGTCGAGGTCAACGGGTCGGCGAGTGGCGATGCGTTCTACATTCAACGGTTTGCACATATTGATGCACCGACACACTGCCTTCGCGGTGGAGACCTTGTCCGGTTTCTGCACTGCCGAGTGGGGACGTTTCTATCTAGCGAAGGGGACGCCGTCCGCCTTTGTCACCAGTCGAGCGACGAAGGTGGAGGGTTCCATTCGGTCCAGAGCCTCTGGCAAGTTCAGCACGTCGATCTCTTGAACGGAAACGAGGTGGCCGTGTCCAATGTGTGCTGCATCCGTCATGTCGCCACGCGCCAGTTCCTCGTTGTTCAGGACATCAATGTACTGCGTAGTGGATCGTTCCATCGCTTGATCGAACGTAGGGGTGCCCAACGTGCACGTTGACGCCGCATCGGACCTCCAGGAGCCACTTCACACTTGCCACCGAGTCGTTTCTGAGCGGGCGGCTCCTGCGCCACGACCGCCCCCTCTTCTTGCAACACGTGACGACAGGTACACGCGAGTGGATTCCCAGCATCTGTGACACGGTTGCATGTCTACAGGGGGATGGATCGGGCTCCCACCTGGCGCCACGGATCCTACCGCCGCCGTCGTATCCAACGCAGCCACCAGCGTTGAAAAATCCAACGCGTTTCGGCTTCAAATCATCCAGCCTTCAGAAGCCACCGAGTCTCTGTTCTTGTTGTCGCTCTTGCCCCAGCTCCAAGGCGTTCACGATGAGCTCGGTCGCCTTGTCCACCAGAACGGCGCTGACCCGCACAATCTGCGAAGCTCCACGTTGTGGATTGTTCACATCCTGGACGAGCTGTCCCGGTTCTGTATCGACACAAGGGACGACCGCGGCGCGCCGATTGCAGCTCGTCAAAATGTCCTCGTCGAGATGGACTGCATTGGGCTGGTAGTGCGGCTGCTGCAGCAGCCATTCGTCGACTGGGCTGGGCCGTTGTCGATGGCCGTTTTCTGCAATGCCGCAGGTAGAAGTTGCCGTGACTCACCTCGAGTCGTTCACCATGTTTCCACAACATAGACGGCGACGCGCCGCCGTCCAGTGCGACATCGTCGGACCTTTGTAGCTCCATTCGTACGATCTGCCAGCACAGCTACAAGCTCCTCGTGCACCTCGTGCGGCTGAATTCGAAAACATCCATCGTGTGTGCGGCGCACCTGGGAACGTTTGGTCGGCAGGTTGGGTTTGACGTGCATGCCGAGGCATTGGTCCTCGAGCTCCTGTGCTCGTCCGAGTCGTTGGTGACGGCCATTTCGGACAACGTGGTCACGCTCTTTGTGACATTGCTTCGAGAACGTGGCCGCCAAGCGGATTATGTCGACTACCTGACCAAGTTGTGCCAGTTCAAGGCGACTGGCATCCAAGCCAAGCAAGTCGCACTGTGCGGGCACTTATTTCCCACCACCGCCGCCACGGTCGCAGAGGTCGGGATCCTGCTCGACGTGCACGTCACGTCAAACCATCAACTCACCGTGTGCCACCCGTCGACAAACGAATGGACACCAATCGCCCAGCTGGTGGCGGCGGACAAAGGGCTCGCTCGATACTTTCTCGCCACGATCCGCATGCTCTCGGCCATGTGCTGTTCGCGCAACTACATTGCTATCCACGCCGTGGAGAAGCAGTTTCCTCGAGATGCAGTCGTTGCCGTCGTTCAAGATAGCCGTGTCCACACCAAGGTGCGTGCATCCCTCGCATGCTGTGATGGAGTGATAGACGCATGGGCGAATCTAGATGCGCGCGGCGTTTTGCCGATTGCTCGCAGCCGTGTACGTCGATCGGTTGCCTCACGAAGTACTCCCGCGGCCGAAGCGCGTGTTTGTGTCTCCCACCGTGAAGATGCCGCCTGGAACAGAAGCTTCTGTCCCGAACCCAGTCTCGACCGATCGAAACGATGCCGACGGGTTCTTTCCTGCGCTCAAGACAGTGCTCAACGAGACGTTGGCAGCTTGTCAAGGCACCTTGACTGCGTCCCAGAGTCACCTCCTACTCGGGATGCTACCGCTGTGTATTCAAATGCTGTCGTTTGGTTGTTATACAGACGAATCCGAGCTCAAGACGCTGGTGCAAGCTCTCGTCCCATTGCTCCGCGACCACATGCAGACGAAACCCATACCGATAACGTCGACGTCGCCTCTCGCGCGGCTTCGAAATACCTCGCTGCGACCAACACCGCTTCCTTCGTCGATCGAAGATCGGCCAGCTGCGCCGACAACTTCCACGTCGTCGCAGACATGCGCCAGCGGCCCGGCATCAACAGCCCAGGTACGCCCGCACACATCCGTCGTTCTTCCACTTACCCCAGACACGGAGATTCGCAAAGCCTCGATAAGCGAACAGGCGCAGACACCACGGAAACAACACTCGATCCATAAATGCAAACTCCTGCTGTGCCAGATCCTCACGTGGACGTTGCGACTGAGTATGGATGCACAACTGGATGGGATCGTGAGCTGGTTCTTTACCCAGTCCTTCGTTCGTACCGATGCATCTGGTACAGCCGTCCCTACCACAGGTTGTGACGACCAGCGCGCTCATCGCTTGCTGGCACAGGTGTCAGCCCAGCCAAGGTTTATGCAGAGCTCGAAGCCAAGTGGATGGCAAATCACGCCGCGATCGGGACGTCGTGCGAATCGATTCTTTGTGGCGCGACCTTGTTTGACCGACTCGTGCATGGCCATGACTGGACGGCAGCGCTCCTGACGCTCGTGGCGTCCGACTACCCTGCTCTGGTGTCTACCGCTCTCGACTTGCTCGGGAGCTCATTCAACGTCCACCGCGAGCTGCGAAAGCACTTGGAACATGTCATCGTTGTGCCGTCGGACCATGCCTACTCCATGTACGCTTGGCGCGTCTTTCAAACTCGATGACGAGCTCCGGATTCGATTAGGTACACCAACATGCGCGTCAGCGCGTCGGTTCTGCGTCTCTACGAAGAAACGAGCGAAACGTGGCTGTCGATGCGGGCGGGAGAGACGTGGAAGGACGTCCTGAGCAGCCTCGAGTGGTTCATCGACGTCCTGGCAACGACCGACGATTTGACGCAAATTCAGGAGCTCGTTCGCGGCCTCGGTGTGGACGACCTCGTTGTCAACATCACGCGCAGCCTCGGCAACTTTCTCGTCGCGACGCCTCGCACTGCGTCGAACCGAGTGTTTCTGCGGCGCCAAGAGCATTTGTTGGACGGGTGCTACCGCTTCTTTGTGTTGTACACGTGGCAAAACACACCCGCCCAGACAAAGCTCCACGACCACGTGGATTTTTTCAAACACTGCGTAAGCCATCGCCACATGCCCGTCGCCATCTTTTACGCCATCTACCACAACAACGTGGCATTGTGCCGAGCGCTGCCGCCTTGGTTGGTCCCGTTCGTTGTCGATTTGGTGAGTTCGCCATGGCGTTTTGACATTGACCCGCGCTCGCTAGATTGACCAAACTGGACCAGTCGCCGAGTATGTCGACATCCTTTCTGCGCTGGCCGTGTGCAATGGAGTCCCCATGAAAGACAACCAAAATGCCATCAGCTTACAACTGGTACGTTCCGCTGTGCCCATGGAGACCGCCCGCAGTTGGTTTGACCATGAGTCGATGATCCGTGATGGCTAGTTGGCCAGCCATCGAAAACCCCATGTCGTCGACTCTGCGCTCGATCTGTCCGCTGTGACCAACGACAGTGATGGTGTAGCTGCCTTGGACACACTGCTCGAGCCGCCCAAGACCGATATGCTTCGTGTCCCTCGCAAAGCCCTCTTTGACCGAGACGACTCTGTCACCCAAGGCGCAGCGGACCGACAACCAAGTCGCATCCATTCGATTCAAGAACGTATTTTGAGCCTAGTTGGCCGCTTCGCCACCGTAGTCGGCGACGACGCTTCCACAAGGTTGCCAACGTTGACTGCAGTCCCATTTGTCTTGACACAGAAAGCGACGACTCATGGAGTCGCCCAGACGTTCGGCACCATCGAAGCGTCGCCCAGGCCTGTCTTGTACCAGGCCAAACTGTTGGAACTCCTGGCAAACCTCACGTTGGGTGCCAACTTTGTGTGCGAAGCTCGGCTGCAGGGGCTCATCCCCCTGGACTCGCTCGTCCGCGCCCTCCTTCGGAAGGGATTGCCATTGCCGCTCAAGTGCAAACTTGTCAAGGTGTGTCCGATCCACGGCAACGCATTTCTGAACCCGACTGACGTAGGTGCTCCATGAAGGCTGGCTACACACCGAACAGTTTGTCGCCGAAGTCGCGGGGAGCCACACACTCGTTCAATTCATTGCGTGCCAACCATCGATTCTTCGGGCCATGGTACAGCGCGCCAGGTCAAGCGATGAAAGCCATTCCACTTCACACGAAGCCTTGTTTGTGCTGGACAGTCTCCTCCCCATGCTGGTGCACTATTTTCGCCATCATTGCGACGGCGAAGTGAAGCATGATCTCGTCGGACCTCTCAAAGACCTGGTCGACATCTTTTCAAGCGTTGTGCAAACTACCCCACCGAGGCATCCATGGTTGGGCAACATGACTGCCGCCACCGTCGACGCGATTCATGCGTTCGTTGACGTGGCCAGCACATTGTTGCGTCAGCCACGGATGGCGCTTCCAGCCCCATCGACGTCCACACTTGCGGCGGTACGTTCTCTAAGTGTTCTTCATGGCATGGAAAAAAGACGCAATGTCGCAGAGTCGTGGCAGCGGCGGGCTGTCGGAGGCGCAGTCGGCGCTCAAGGCGTTTGCAAAGTGGTTGCATGTCGCTCCGTTCTACGTAGCTGCCATCGACCGCGACAAGCGCGTCATGCTCGATGCGTTCATGCACACGAATACGGCAGACCCGCCTCGGCGAACAACCATATCAGCGCGACTTTCCGTTGTCCGAGTGCATCCAACCAAGAAGGGGAGCAGCGCACCGCCCGGAATCGACGCCAAGTACCTCGTCGCGCGGCTCATTGCGCATGCAAACAACAGCGAGATCCGTCTTGGCCAACCGGCTCATCATTCGACGCTCGAGATCCTGACGATCTTGGAGCAAGTGTCGTCTTCGAATGCAACGCAAGCGCTCGTGCATCTCCTCGGCGCACCCAAGATGATGGTCGAACTGGGGTGCCGCGCACACGATGTACGTGATCACGCCATCCTTGCCTTTGGTACTCGCACTCATCCTGTGGTGCGAAGCACGACGTGGCTACCCACAAGGCGCTCGTTTTGTTGGCCATGTCGCTGCTTCGCCATGGGGGATTCGATGCGCAGGAGCAATTCTTCGCGTTGTTGAGTATGGGGGCGAATGTCAAGTGGTTTGATCGCGTCGGCAAGTACCTCCGTGCGGCGATTGCCGCCGTCGACACCAGGCATCCATCGGAGGGCCAGCAGGATCTCGATCGCAACGCAGGAACGACGAATCTCTTGGAAATGCTGCGGTTGCTGTGCGAAGGTGGTGGCGATATCCGACTTGACTGTGTCGAGATAACATGGTGGCGTAACAGGACACCACTCCAAGTTTCAAAACCTCCTGCGGCACCAGCCATGCAGTCACCCGTCCGTTAACGTCGTCGAGCTCGTCGTGGTGCTCTTTAACGAGTTGGTACGGACGCTGACACCGACGTCGGTTCCTGTGCTCCTCAAGACGTTTCAAGCCATCGTCGAGTTTATTCAAGTATAGATCGTTTGGCGTCGATGGCATGGGGATGCGCGGCTAACTCGTGCGGCGCTGTTGTAGGGACCATGCGAAGGCAACCAACTTGCCGTAATCGATCCGTCCGAACTCCACGGAGGCACCTTTCTCGACTCGATCAATGTACTCCTGAGCCTGTCCAACGCCGAGCCCGGGTTTGCCCCCGGCGACGTGCACCGCCTCAAATACATGTACGTTCGTGACTGTGGAATAATGCAGCGCAGTCCAAGTTTAGCATTGACATGGCGCGTGGTGTGCGCGCAGGTGCTCGCTGGCGCTGGTGGCGCTCGTGGAAGGCCGCACGGACACAATCATCCACGATCGCATGGCGACTTTGCTTTCGATGCGTCTGCTCAAGGAGACCCTGGTCGCTGTCTACACGAGCTTTGCGGTTCGTCCACACCTTCATCGAGTCCACCATGGAGAAGAGATTGCATGGAATAGAAGCGGCACGAAGGCCGTTACACGGAAGCCGCGTTCGACCCGGACTTGCTGTCGGCGGAAGGCAGGCAGCGCGACAACTACGTCGTCCGCTTGATCAAGATCACGCTTGGCCAGGCGCACATCCCACCGGCCGACGCGACGCCCGCGACGTCGGCATCACCATCCGCGGCGACCTCGACCACGGAAAGAGCCGACGATACGGGGTTTCCCCGAAACCCGCTGCTCGGGGCACTCCTGCCTGGCCCCACGTCGCCGCCGATGCAGTTTATGCTCAACGCAGGATTTAACATTTACATCCTTTTCCACCGCCTCTTGGAAGTCCCGGCGGTCGCGCACATCCTCCGATCCAGTCTCATTCCGTCGGACGGAGACCTTCGAGACTTGGAAGAGTCGCCGCTAGCGTACGGCACAGCACGTTAGGATCATGCCCAGCTAACGTTGCCTTGTAGGTTGATGAATCCAATCGTGGCCGCGTTTAACGCTCGCAGGCGGCTCCAGCGCTTGTCGCAGCTCGTGAAGTCGGACCGAGACGTGTCGTACGTGGAAGCGTACGCGTTTTTTCATCGGTACTGCGCGTCGGTGGAGGTTCACGTCGGGGGCGACAAAAGCGGCGACGTCCCGGTCATTCCGGGCAACAACTTGAAAAGCGCGACGACCGACGGACGGCCACGGCGGCGACTCCAACGATTCTACTTTCCCAAACCACCCGTGTGCGCATTCCTGACGTCCGATATGCGAAATGCTGTCATGGACAACATCAACCGCGACTCGCCCGCGGAAAAAATCCAAGATCTGTTTCAGCGGTCCGACGCGGTCTGGTGTTTTGTCTGCCGACAGACTGGTGTTGACATGCGCTGCTCCTTGTGTAGATCATTGCGGAAATGACGCACCGGTACTTGATGTCGTTTGCGGGCGATAAGCTCTTCACGTGGGGCAAATTGCTCTCGTTCGGGTTCGCCATCGTGCTCAACATGCTCCTCATTGCGTGCTACGTCGACATGGTACGCCATTTCCACTGAACGCTCCACACGGCCACGCCTGGTTCGGTAGGGAGACCCTCGTTTTGAGAGTCTTGCGCTGGCATTCCAGAGCCCCGACGACGCGTACTATCACATTGGGTGCGTCGGAGCCATCGGCGGCGTCCCCATCACGTCCATCATCCGCGTGTTTGGTCTCTTCCAAGTCATTGTGTCTGTCGGCATCGTCCTCTTGTACGCGTTCACGTACGACCCGTCGTTCAACGTTGGAGCGAATGCACTGACTACGACGGGGTAGATATGGCCCGCTGATCATGCTGGAAGGATGGAAGCGCCACGCTGGCAAGGCCAAGAAGGCGGTGGCGTCGACATCGGCGTCTCTCTTGCACGAGGCGGGTGCACCATTTCGATCTCCGTCGTCCCAATCGATTGCAGCCGTACGTGTCGATCGGCGCGCGGTCGTGCCGGTGTGGGACCGCCGCGTGGGTTAAGGACTGGCTCGTGTGTAGCTTGGAGCCACCTCGCCGTCCGCCACGGCGTACTCGTTGACGATAGGCGGCGTGCATTTCGAGAACGTCCGACCAGCCAACATTGGGCGATCGCTTGTGTTTTTGCTGCTGAACCCGGTGTATGTGTATTACGTCGTGTACTTGAGCATGGCGATCATGGGCTTTGCCGGGCACAACTTTTTCTTTGCGTTCCACTTGTTTGACATCCTCCTGCGGTCGGTCTCGCCCGTTCCTCGTCCCGCTGCGGTTCCGACGTGGGTGACGTAGGTTCCCGGAGCTCACGATCATCGTGCATGCCGTCGCGTGGCCGTGGAAGAGCCTCGTCCTGTCGTTCTGCCTCATGATGATAGCCATCTACATCTTTGCCATCGTCGGGTTCACGTACTTTCGGCATCAGTACCCGACCGTTGCGTCGAGCGCGGCCAACTCGACCGACACAATTGCCGAGTGCGGGATGCTGCTGTCGTGCTACCTCACGACATTTGACCAGACGTTCAAAAACAACGGCGGCATTGGTACCTCGCGCCACGACGTCAGTCGATCATGGACGACGTGCACTAGGGTCGTACATGGCGACGCAAACCCCCGACGACATCATGAACTGGGGCCCGCGCCTTGTGTTCGACAACTTGTTCAACATAGTGATCTTGCTCATCATCGTGAATATCTTTTTTGGCATCATCATCGACACGTGCGCGATCGGTGTCCCGTCTATGGCCTGATCGTGCGACGGACGCGTAGGTTTGGCGACCAGCGCAGCCGCATGGAAGCGCGCGCGAACGACATCGCGGGCAAGTGCTTTGTGTGCAGCTTGAGCCGCGAAACATTTGACCGGGTCGCTCCCCTGGGGTTTGAGGTACACTTTGTCGACTCGTCGGTCGGGTCGTCACGGGTCCTGTGCAGCACCACATCAGGAACGAGCACAACCTGTGGAACTATGTGTTTTTAGTCGCCCATCTTCGTTTCAAGAGCGAAAACGAATTCGACGGCGTCGAGCAATACCTCTGGCGATGCATCCGATACGAAGACTATTCCTTTGTCCCGTTGTACCATGCTCTCGCCCTCAAGCACGACGCGTCCGTCAAACATGACAGTGCTTGACCGCGTGTCGTCCATGTAAAGCGTGCAATCGAAGGAAGCACATCGCTTTTCTTGGTGTCCCTACGCGACGACCGTCGTGGAATGATGCGATGGGGTGCACGGTGTTCGTGAATGGAAGCAGTCCACCATCCCAACGAGGGAGAGCTGCACATGGTGCAGGTATTCATTGCGCCGCGTGCTGACGGTCGAACTGACCCATGGAGACCTGGCCAACCCCAGATGTGGCATGTCAAGCCGGCACACGTTCAACATTGAGAGTTGCGAGTGCTTGTCGAGGGGTTGCAGCGCCTTGCCGACACTTCTCATATGTCCGAACATCCGTTTGAATTGTCGGTAAGCCTGTTGCGGTAGCTACACACCACGACCGTCTCAATCTTGGTGGCGTGAATGGATGGAGTTCCATCGTTGCGCAGAATACTGGCCATCCATCCTCGTCGGACCGCGTGTGTTGATCGGATCAGCTGGACACATTCAGCAGGAAGCTTGTTAGTATTGTGACCCTTTCTTGTTGCCAATGCCGCGCGGATTAGCATCCTTCCAGTCGTCCCACGCGCGGTCACGCATTGTGGCATCATCGACCAGCGCCAAATTGTCTTCGTCTCCGTCTTCTTCGAGCTGGTCGATGCGTCGCGGGCCCACCGGGGCGTTCCTATTCGCCTCATGAGCGTCGAGCTACCACCACCACGAAATCGCACTTTTCATTTTCTTGGCGAGCCAACGCATCTGCGAGCTCCCGGTCGGCGTACTCCTCGAGGGACATGGTCGGGAGTCGGTGGCCGGGCTGGAACACCTGGCCGCGAATCACTTCCTTCTTCATCTCCATCTTTGGGTTGATGTGCGTTACTTCCTGCGAACTCAGTATGATGAGCCGTGATGGAGGATGGATCGCCATACAATGCCCTGGCCTTGCGGCGGCGGCGTGCGCTCGGCCGCTTGGAATACGTCGTTCGTCGTCAGCTTGGCCATTTGTACCTATCGCAGCTATTAAATGGCGCCTTTAGAGCGGCATACCATCGTCTCGAGCATCTCGCTTTCACTCGCAATCGCGGCCTGGTCCTCCATGCTCTTCAAGATCGCGACGTCGACGAGCTTGAACAGACACTCGCGCTCGATGTCTTCCAAGTCCTCCTGTTGCCAACGTGAAGTGCATTTTGTTGCATAACGTGATCGTCTCACGTGTACGTACGTCGTCCTTATCTTTAGCCTGTTGGCGAATGTGCAGCACATGCTGCAACGCTTTGTCGGCTTCCTGTGCCAGTTGCCACTTGCGAATTTTGTCTTCACGGGTCTCTTTGCGTCCCTGCTCGAGTTGACTAAGCTGCGCCGCGCGCTCCGAGCGCTTGAGTAGCTCCACATTGACACATTGGTCGAGGAACGCATCGAGCAGCGCCGAAGCGTACGTGAGGTTCTTCAGCCTGGCGGCGACGAACACGCTTCGGTCATTCTGTCCACCACTAACTTGAATCGTGTTGATCTTTTGAGCAAGCATGCCGAGGTAGTACTCCAGTAGGAGAAACTGGAGCTGCGAAATTTGCAACTCGTGCGCCGACTCGTTTGGGCTGTACAGGTCCGACAACGCCGGGTTCGCCTTGAGTTTGTGCAGCCGTTCCATCGTGACCGTCAGTCTCTCTTGGAATGCAAGGCTTCCACTGCCAAGTTCGTTCTCGAGCTTCTCCATCTCATGGAACAACGTCTCCGCCAAGCGCAGTTGAATGTACGCTTCCGCTTCTCCCATCGCGATGTGCGCGCTTTGATGAATGTGCTCGTCCTCTCTTAACCGGAAACTCCGGATACGTAACAGCGGGGTTTCGAGGTTTCGGGGTTTCGGGGTTCTATCGGGTAGTCAGACTTGTAGCAATTTTTTCTGGGGGCATGCGAGCGAGTATGCGCGCGTGATATACTGCGCGCCACATGATTAGACCCGCGTGGATTTTGTTCTGTGCAGTCTGACCTTTTTGTGATCTGTGGCAAACAATTCAGGGCCCGACACCTGGAGACATGTTTTGTGTTAGAAATCAATCATTTAATCACGTTTGTTGTCTGTAATAGCTCGATCTGCATTGTCATGACATTACACCCGCGCCAGAAGAATAGAACCACACCACAAATCACACAAAATGCTTGTACAAATGTGCATTTTTATCACTCTACTAGGTAGTTCTACCTTCTTTGGCTTCCACCACGGCCACACAACGTCGTGGCATCGACTCAATGAGCGCAGTGACGAAGTCTTGGTCGATCCCACGCCACTCGTCCAATATGGCCGTCTTGAGGTCAGCAACACATTGAAACTGCGGGCCGTTTCGATAGACACGTCGCGCTAGGAGGCCCCAAAGGTTCTCGATTGGATTCAAGTCAGGAGAAAGTGGAGGGTGGTAAAAAAGATCTTTCAAAAATTCTTTCGTGTATTTTGATGTATGAATCGAAGCGTTATCTTGCATAAACACGAATGCATCAGCATAATGGTAATGTGCAAATGGAAACAAGTTGTTACTCAATGTTTCAACATATGCAGATGAAGAAAAGCCAATTCAGACAAACCAGCAGATGAAAACGCACCCAAACCATCACATCACCCCCACCGTTCCGACGCGCGAAAAAAGTGTCCTCCTCCTTGCGCAAATCATGCCACTAATGCTGAAGCCCATCTGGGCCATCGAGGCTAAACCTCTACTCATCAGACCAAATAATATGGTCCCAGGTAGGTGGCTTCGCGAGGTGCATTTTTGCGTAATCCAGTCGCATTTTCTTGTGACGGTCTTTCAGCGCTGGCATCGCCTTCCGCTTCTTGTAGCGTAGGTTTGGGTCTCCCATGTGTCTCCTCTGGCATGTTCGAAGAGAGGCAGCCAATTCAGCTTGTCTTAAGGCTCCGGGCTGACAAGCCTATCTTGGATGCCTCTCGGACGAGCAACCGGTACTCTGAACCAACGACGAGGGCCGCCTTGCGGCCCTTGAATTTCTTCCCGTATTTTTTTGGGTCCTTCAAAAACGTCCTGACGGCCTTCGGGGATCTTAAATCCTCGCTTGCGATAGCACTGATGCTCAATCCGTGCTTGTGGAGGTCCAAGACCATTCCTTGCTCCATCGGACTCAAGAGAGGTCCCAGGTCCACTTTATGTGGCTCAGAGGACAGCTGATGTAGCCTACATTGGTTTTCTTAAGTATGCATCGTCTGAGGTGATGATTGTACTTGCAGAGCGAAATTTCTCAAATGGGTCTGTCCTAATGGCGCGGGATTTTGAAGCGCCTCATCAAGATTGGCCCATTCTGTATTGAAAAGGGCGCCAATTTGTTTGTCATTGTTATTGATCAATCAAACTAGTTAAATTGCGACTCTTGTAAAGTCTAAATTTTTGATTGGTTTCAAAGGATCATAAAAAATCTACAGTGCGCGAAATAATTATATGTGCACATGAAAATCTTGGTTTTGCGGAGAAGTCCTGACAATTGCTTTGATCTGAACTTGCCCTACGTCGTAAAAGAGAGTTTGCAGTGTGTAAGTGCAAAAATATATAAACCTATCTTAAATGGGGTAAAACTAGAAATCGCGGAATATATTTCGCGAAATATTTATAT